GTAGTGTTCAATATTCGTTAGTGTTCTAATTCAAAGCCGTGTTGTATCCCAATACAGCTCACACAGCAAACGGAATTCAAACACGTGGATGTCGGCAATACGTATCAGTTAAATTTGAAGCGCTGACGCAATGCGACTCATCACGTGTCGAATATTGCCACACAAAGTGACGGAATATAGGGATTTGGTAGGTTTCCATTCTAAAGGCTTTTTAATAAATATGGCAACATTTTGTGACGTTTCATCGTTGCTGACGCGTAGTAAAGTGTTTTGAAGAGTCATGTGGAGGCAACTCAGGCAACAGAACTTACGTAACGCATACAGTTTTTTTTATAGTTTTTCATTTCTCGATGCGTCCTTAATGTGTCGGAATATACCGCGTTTACCCTAGCCCCAGTTGACGGTACTAATTCCTTTCAAAATAGGCCTATGTCATTTTGCAGCAACAAAATTTTATATAAATAGGAATTTTTTAGTTCTCAAATCCACCAATGTTGTGCAGTCACAGTGTGCGCAGTGTGCAAGTGTAGAATATTAAATATATCAACTGCTTGAGCTGCAAGTCTGAAACTACTGAACTAGTACTTTCCTGCCATTTTTTGGAAGTAGCGCCAGGCTGCCAGCAGTGTGAGATCCAAGCCATTTTCCAAGGTAATTATTAATCAAGTAAAAATCTGGCAGACTGCTGGATTCCTACTTGATTAATTATCTTAGATCTCAATCTCATATTTAACTTTTAATAATTTTAAATGTGCATGATTCATGAATGGGCTACAAGATTTCAAATGTATTGAAAATTTGTCAGTTTGGTAGGTACTGTGAGATTTTCAAAATCACTAGAACAATTTGAATCCTGATGACCTGATGCTGTGGTTAAATTTCTATGATGATCATAATACACAATTCATATTATTAAATGCTAGATTTTAAATAACATTTCTCCACCTGACCACCACATCACAATATAAAGATCACATCACAATATAAAGATCTTTTTTTTAAATAAAAGGCCAGTTTTACAAAGAAATATTAGTAGCAAACAATATTTGGCAATTTGGCATCTATACATATTCAATATTGTCTTGTGAGTCGTAATCTTACGAAAACAATGAAAACAACAGCTGAGCGCTGACGATCATATAATATCTTCATAACGGAAACAAATCGACTACGTTTTTGGCAACGCCCAAGATAAAAGCTCTCCCAAAATTTTCCCTAACATTTTGAGACTATTAAAATGAGCAAGTAATAAAATAAAGAGATAATTAGGCTAAAAATGAAAACTATTCGTCATACAGACGACGAGGAAGTTGAGCAAGTGCGCTTAGGTGGCACAGATCACCAACGTGAGCAGACACATTCTCTTCCGCAACGATAAGATTAGAAAAAATAAACATGCTGAGATTTTTGACGGCAAAATCGATGAAATGTTGAAAATTATTAGAAACGTAAGATTTAATAACACTAAAGTTCAAAGAAAGAAATAAAAAATCTTCATCTTGACCCAACCACTCACCACTGCGCTAAAGTCAACACTGAAGTAAATATGCTGAGTGCAGACTTTGACCAAAGAGGCAACTGCTTCGAGTTAACTGGCTTCTGGACGAGTTACGGTATGCGCGCCTAAGAAGTAAAAATATGTTCCACATTATGACTCACGTTACGTATTTACTGAAATCATTTGAAATTTTAAGAAATATTAGTAATTAATCTGAATATTCTGTTTTATCTTTTAGTGCTTCTGCATGAAACGATCTCAAGTTATTTTTTTATTTCAGTCGTAGGAAGACGCGACTAATAATTTATCATCGAAGAGGCGTAAAACAGAAAATACTGCCTCAAATAGTAAACTGCGATACTAATTTTCAGTCCCTGAATAAATTGAATGTAAGTAAATTTGTTTAATACACGTTTGCTTTTAAAGATTCATTGGGAGTTACGGTTGCGTGTGTTATGTGCATGACTAACGACGAACCAATGCACGACATACGTACATGGCAATAGCATAGCATCGTCGGCGTTGAAGAAATAGGCCTACAATTAGCCTGTAGCCGTTTGGACTTTTTGTGACTTGTTCACAGATATATAAACTGGCATTCGGCAAGATCTTTTCAACTGACGTTGGCTTACATCAATATTTAACTTCTTATCATTCCGTAGAGTGCTAGGCATTTCAAGACTGAACATATACTTCTGTATTGCAGTCTAGTTTATTCTTGAACGCGTTCATACTCGGAGCGTCAATATTATCATAAAGTAGGCCGTTCCACATGTTGCTGACGTCGCGAGGAGAAATGCTTTCGTGGGGATGAATTGCACCGCGGTTTTTTTAACATATAACAATAGCCAACTGGTGGTGTTCTTGTTTTAAATTCTACTAATTCTGCTAAGACTTTGCATAAACCATGAGTAGATTTGTATACTTCAATAGGGTCAACAGTCAACACGCGTACAATATATTCAGAACAGATAATGGTTTAAAAAAAACATTGTAAACATTAAACAAGCTCCTTGAATTAACCTATATAGCTTGTTTATTTTGTTTAGGCGCGAAAAAATCTCTGTAGTAGAAATCTATTAAAAGCATGAAGGCTCTAATGTCTAACCAAAGCAGCAAATCAGCCAAGAAAACGTTTTTTGTCAGAGACAAGAAAGATGATTCTTATAAATAGAATCAAAGTTCAATCCGGATTTGTATCATTTACCAGCGTTGATTTGAGACATACTAGATCGGTCGTCGAGTAAATTTTAATTTTAGGCCATCGCATGAAGCGTTCGGTGTAATTCATGCCAATTTCGAATCTCATAATTGGTTTATATTAAATGTCCTAACACCCCGAATTCGTAAATTAGCTTCTCGAGAGCTCAACTCAACTTTTCTTTAATGTAAAGTTTTACAACTACTAACCCTTTCTGCTTCAAACGACGCTATTTTGTTAATCTGACTAAATCTTTAAGGAAAAATTCTGAAGTTATTATTAATCCGCATCCCAATCTAGGTAATGATTACATTTAGCAATATATTGAAGGATTTGATGGCTCAAAATGCAAATACATTTTGGAAGGCACCATTTATCGAAAAGAGCTGTTAACGGGAAGTTCAGAAAAGATCAACATATCCTAGAAAACTGATAAATTATCATATTCTCCATCACATCCACAAGTCCGCAGCCACCACTTGTTCATGCTAAAGTTAAGCATGGTAATAACATCATCTGGACTAACCTACTCTGGCTTAACATACACACTTTGTCATGACTCCTTACCCTGCTGCAGCCAATGAACGGTTCTGCTTGCCCCGCCTCTCCAACTTGCTGTAGGTTGGTTGCTACGGTTTTACCTTTTGTCTTTGGGTAAAAATGACTCGCAATTTCGACCTTATGCTCAGAAAGCAAGGGCGTATACCGTAAATGAAAACAACGGAAGGGTTAAGAACCCGACTTCATGTAGTATACTACGCCCTCTAGCGCACTCGACAACGGGTTTGAATGAGAACTCAAGTGTGAAGTTGGGACTGGATGGTCTCTAACTCTAGCCTCTGATACCAGAAGCAAGACAAGATATAAAATAGGCCCTCTCAGGTACTGCTGGTGCGGATGTGGAAACATTTTTGCATTTTCGACCAGATTAGTCTCACGAAAAAATCGTCATTAGTCAATTGCTTGGTTTAAGACGTTTCTCCACTTTTTGCAGATTTTCTTTCTAAAGGCTACTACAAAGCACTTCCTGAACACCAATTTTTGTTTAACAAACGAATTTCTGAATTTTTTTGCAATGCAAGAAGTCGCTCCTGCTTGTACCAGTTACTGGAGCACCACCACCAAAGCCCGGCCATTCTGGAAGAAAGGGCCGGGTTGGACGTGGTGTATTTAGACTTCGCGAAAGCGTTTGACAAAGTTGACCATGGAGAACTCTTTAGAAAATTAAGACTGCTGTGAATCATGGGTGATTTGTTAGCTTGGATCCACAACTTCCTAACTGAAGGACTACAAGCTGTCGTTGTTGGGCTGAGTTCGAGCCAAAGGAAGAGTGGAGTACCACAGTGAACGGTACTCGGCCCTATCCTCATCCACGTCGCCGACCTAGATGTGGCAGTGAATTACGCCTCAATATCGTCATTCGTAGATAAAAACGGATACTAAAGACTAATACGGACAGAACAGCTAGAAGACTGCGAGCGGTTGCAAGAAGACCTCTCTGCAATATATGACTCGGCCCAAGTGAATAAAATGCAGTTCAACGGAACAGAGTTTCAGGTTCTGAGAAACAGAGGTAGCGGAACAGCTGGTATGGAGCACCGCTACCTGGCACCTGACGGCTAGGAAATCATTGAGAAGCGACTCATTTTCGATCTAGGAGTGTTGATGACTACTCCGGTCAAGATTGGTGATAACATAGCGGCAATAACCGCAAGAGGCAGGAGTCAGATGGGGTGGATCAGGCGGACTTTCAGAACAAGAGAAGCGGAACCGATGATCACACTCTTCAGAGCCCTTGTAATACCTATCCTTGAATACTGTTGCCAGCTTTGGACCCCGTAAACATACCATAACGAGAGAAGGGGGAGACTGTGCATGATTTCCTCACCACGTAACAGATCAGCGGTCTGATTTCAATCCCCGCGGGAAGGATCTCTTTCCGTGGCAGGGCCGAGGTTGTTTATCGTCCTACCGAAGGATCTAAGAGAGGGTGAGTTTACCCTGGAGACCTTAAAGAGATGGCTGGACGTGTTCCTGGGCACAATCCCTGATCGTTTGCCCCAGCGGCGAGAAGCAAACTACATCATGCATCAGCTGGCCCAAATAAGAATGGATGAGAGATAGTCAGAGGAGATGCTCCATCGTGGCTTGGGACTGCTGCGTCCGAAATATATACTAAGGAGACTATGGATGCATTAATCGCAATGAGTTTAATCCATTACCGGTCGCGTTTATTCTTATAAATTTCAAATAGCAGAGTTTGTAACTATATAAATGGTTAAGAGTTTGTTACTCCGTCTGACAATCACTGCATGACGGCTTTTTACCTAATCCCACCACTACAGACGATGGGCCACTACGTGTACTTAGTCCGCTACGTGTACTTACGTCGCTAGGTTAACATGATCCACTACGTGTGCGTACTTCGGTCGCTACGTGTACTATCCTTAGTATCCTTAGTATTTGTTTGGGACACAGCAGTCCCAGGCCACGATGGATCGCCGCCTCTGATTATCGTTCATCCGCCCTCATTTGGGCCACCTGATGCACGATGCTGTTGCTTGCTTCTCGCCGCTGGTAGTGTTGCAGGGGAGGTCGATCTGGGATTGACTCAGGAACACGTCTAGCTGTCTCTTGAAGGTCTCCAGGGTGAACTCCCCCTCTCTTAGATCCCTTGGTAGGGCGTTGAACAGCCTTGGTCCTGCCACGGAGAGTGATCCTTCTCGCAGGGATTGAAATCTGACTGCGGATCTGTTACGCAGAGGAGGGATCTTGCACAGTCTCCCCCTTCTCTCGTTGTGATATGTCTGAATCTTGAAGGTCTCGCTCTCGAAGTTTGGCACCATTCCTGTTATCATTTTCCATGTGTACAGAATGACATACCTCTCCCGTCTCCTCTGCAGTGAGTACAAATTTTACTAGGACCACTACGCATACATGGGCTACTATTCATGCCTACTTCTACGAGATAGAAACAATAGTTGAGTATATACACTGACACGCGGTATTTACGTCTAGTCATATTACGTCATTTCAAATGTCTCTCCCCAAAAGTGGCATAGCTAGATTGCCTAACACACTCAGAAATTAGGCGCTGACCTTAGTGACGATAACGAAGGACAAGTGAATATGAGACGTGAGGACGTTTTTCTTAACAATAATCAGGTGTAGTCAAAATACTTCTCAATTTTATCCTTTGATGATGTAAGAAATTCATCATTAAATGAAATGCAATATGTATTTAAGATAGGCTGAATCATGTAAAAAACTGAAAGATCTAAAAAAAAGTATTGTGATATGTGCACCACGCTAAAAACCTTTGAGCGTCCCCCAAAAATTCTCTAGCTGCCTGTGATGTAATCATATCAGAATACCAAAATTGTTTGATTCTTAACATGCTATATAATAGCACTTCTCAACACAATTCCTCACTCATCGCTGCAGCGGGCTTTTAGGATCAGCCTGTTCGTTGCTGACACGGCATAGTGGAACCAAATTTGTTTGGAAAAAACACGACAATGGCAAGGACCGAGCTTAAATTTAAATTGAAAGTGCATTATTTTAGCGCTCATTTCTTCAAATTTTGTAGCCTTGATTTTCAACAGTAATTCTGAAACTATATAGTGATAATATGTTCTGTTGGGGGTGAGTTCTAGGAACACCACACTCAGCACCCAGAATATTTCCTTTGGTGTGTTAGAGTTAAAAAAAATATTTCAACCCTTGACTACAAACAACAAAGTGAAGAACTAAATAAGTATATGCAAGGTATATGTATAATTCAGACTAGCATATGCCTCCGGGAGCCCTGACAGAATAGGTTGCGCTTGAGTGCCGGATGCTCGTCGATAAGGACAGCGTTGCGATAGGTTT